CAGTAAAAAAAATAACAAATTCTACGCTTGCAAAATTACAATTTTAAAAACAAATTAATCTTTATTTTTAAAAGGACATTTATCCAATTAAATAGGGAGTTTTAAAACTCCTTTGCCATGTTGCTAAAGATTGGATAACTATTAACCAATTTATTTTAAATTTTAAATTTCAAGCAGTCAACTAAATAAATAAGTTACGGATGTATTGGTTATTTAAAAATTATATAAAGTCCTAAATTAAATATAACTGGTCACTTTAAAATTTCATTAACTTTAAACTTCTCCCTTGCAATTGTTGAAAGGAATTTACTGCCTTTAGACAAAGAACTCCTAAACTTCATTTTGTCAAGGTAGGTTGTCATATATCTTTAGATTATTTTTTGTTCATCAATACTGAATAGTAACTAGCCTTATTTGTTTGTGGTTTTACTTTTGTAAAATGAATTGTATATAGGTAAGTGCACATTACAGCGGAATGATGATAATAAGTGCTCAGACAGTTGTGAAGAAACGAAGAAAGACATATGGGAGTGAAAAAAAAAGAATTACATGTGAAGAATGTCATAATTAAAACCTTGATGAATATTGTTGTGCATTGCGAGAACGAGATGGTCTAAGACGTCATATATTTTTTTTCTTTTTTTATTTCTTCTAAACACAATAAAAAATAATTTTATGTTTCTTTGTATCTATATTTCTAAGATTAATATTTCTTTTGATTTTTTGCATGTGTATTTTTTAAATAATTGCTTACAGAGAATTTTATTGCTTAATTTTTTTTTTTGAAATAAACCTATAATCTAAAAAGTGCACAGAGAGTTTTTATTGCTTTAAAAAAAATTAAAAGGGATCTATAATCTAAATTATTATAAAGATAAGAAAAAACATGTTAGTATACCTCATCAAATAGATTTTTTTTTAAAAATAATTGTTTGCCTTTTTTTTCTTTTCTTTTTTGTTAATTTTTTTTGGTAATGCTGCTAAAATATAGGAACTACAAATTTATGTTTAGAGTTATATAGATTTAAAACACAAATAAATTTAGCCTATTTTTTTAAACAATATAACAAAATATCTGGCAGGGAAAACGTATTTTGATTTTTTTTTGGATTTTGAATAAAACATATACAGAAAATATATCAACATGCCATTTAATCTCATGTTATCAAATATTTTATATGAAATATTAGAATTAATAAATTATCAAAATAATTTTTTTATTCAAATGACATAAAAAGAATAAAGTACAAACACATAAAAATATTTGAAAAGTATTTCATATTTGATCAAGAAAAAATAATTATAAAATTAATAGTATCCTAGAAAATAGACACATGCCAATACACAAATAATGAAAACAGTCAACATTTTTTAAAACATATTTTATATTTTTTAAATCCAATTTATAAATTAGTAAAAAAATAATTTATTTTAAAAAAAAATTGAAAATTTACTTTCATGATAATATTTAAGATAATGCTAAGAAAATTGTTTTTAAAATAAATAAAATTATTTTAAAAAATAATTTTAAATAAATTCTAAAAATTAGGGAATAACTGTATTTATTATTAAAATTTAAAAAGCTTATAAAATATTGGAGTTCGATTTTAATTTTTAAAAAAGCTAGGATTTACAAAGTTTTCACTATCTATTTATTTTGTTTTAAGAACACAAAACATTTTTAATGCGAAATATATTCACTATCTTTCCAAAACTTCTAAATTCAATATTTTAAAAATAATAATTCACTATTATTTTAAATTAATAGATTACTGCATTTATATATAAAATGTTTAATATTTTATATATAATAAAAAGAATAATTCATTTATATATAAAATCCTCAATGAGAAAAACTAATAAAAATTATATGTATTTTGCACCAAAGAAATATATTAGTAATTAATATAATCTAAGCGGTAGTCTCAATGTCTATATATCTATATCTATCTAATTTTAAAATTTTAAAAATGCCAAAAGATAAAGAAGTTAAAACTTGCAAACACTAAAAAAAAAGTATGGATATAAAATTTGCAAACAGTAAAAAAAAACCAATTTACGCTTGCAAAATTACAATTTCAAAAACAAATTATTAATCTTTATTTTAAAAAGAACACTTATCCAATTAAATAGGGAGTTTTAAAACTTCTTTGCCATGTTGTTAAAAATAAGGATTAGATAGCTATTAATCAATTCATTTTGAATTTTAAATTTTAAGCAGTCAACTAAATAAATAAGTTAAGGATGTATTGATTATTTAAAAATTATATAAAGTCCTAAATTAAATATAACTGGTCACTTTAAAATTTCATTACCTTTAAACTTCTCCCTTGCAATTGTTAAAAGGAATTTACTCTCCATTAGGCAAGGAACTCCTAAACTTTATTTTGTCAAGGTAAGTTGTCATGAATTTTTAGATTTTTTTTTTTTGTTCATAAAAAATGAATAGTAACTAGCCTTATTTGTTTGTGGTTTTACTTTTGTAAAATGAATTGTATATAGGTAACTGCATATTACAGCGGAATGATGATAATATGTACTTTGACAGTTGTGAAGAAACGAAGAAAGACATACGTGAGTGAAAAATAAAAAAATTACGTGTGAAGAATGTCACAATTGAAACATTGATGAATATTGTTGTGCATTGCGAGAACGAGATGATCTACGATGCTCAGATATTTTTTCTTTTTTTTATTTCCTCTAAACACAATAAAAAAATAATTTTCTGTTTCTTTGTATCTATATTTCTAAGATTAATAATTCTTTTATCTTTTTGCATGTGTATTTTTTAAATAATTGCTTACAGAGAATTTTTATTGCTTAAATATTTTTTAAATAAACCTATAATCTATAAATGCTCAAAGAGTTTTTATTGCTTTAAAAAAGAATTAAAAGGTATCTATAATCTAAAATATTGTAAAGATAAGAAAAAACATGTCAGTAAACCTCATCAAATAGATTTATTTTTTTAAAAATAAAATAATTGGTTGCCTTTTTTTCTTTTTTTGTTAATTTTTTTTTTTGTTAATGCTGCTATAGGAACTAAAAAATTATGTTTAGAGTTACATAGAGTTAAAACACAAATAAATTTAGCCTATTTTTTGTATCAATATTTTAACAAAATGATTGGCAGAGAATTGTACGTACAAATGATGATGCTATAATTTAGGGCTGTATAACAGAAAAACAAGGAATACTGTTATTTTTGTTTTTGCTAATTATTTATAATTTCACATAAATTTAATACGGAAAAAATATTTTGATTTTTTTTGGATTTTGAATAAAACATATACAAAAAATATATCAACATGCCATTTAATCTCATGATATCAAATATTTTATATGAAATGTTAGAATTAATAAATTATTAACATAATTTTTTTTATTCAAATGACATAAAAAGAATAAAATACAAACACATAAAAATATTTAAAAAGTATTTCATATTTTATCAAGAAAAAATAATTATAAAATTAATAGTATCCTTAGAAAAATTTCAACATAATATATTATAAAACTGAGAAAATGGCCAAATGGCCTTCCAATCTATTACTAGATTTCCAACTACACACCTATTCTTCACAGGAGTCCTATTACCCACCTGAACTACTTTAAAATGGAATAAATAACCCTTTAAGTGCTGAGTTGACATAGAGAGTGTATGTCAATCTCTTTGAGAGAGCGAGTTGCCTATTTATTTATTTTTAATTTCCATTTTTTTCTAATTTTCTTTTTTTCTTTCTCTTTCTTTCTTCTTATTTATCTATACAACTATACATTTTTCACCATTATCATTGTTGAAACTTTTTCAATGGATATTTAGTATAAAAATTATCAACAACTAATGCATTTTATGAATAAATAATTTTTCAATAAACTTATTTAGAACATATCTAACAAATTAAATTTATTTTTTAAAAAAACATACCCATTATTTTTTTTTTAAAGTAATGGAATCAAGAGTAACAAAATATAAGTGAAGTAATTGTATATTTAAAAAAATATTTTCAAACTTATTAAAAGGAACTAAAACAAAACAATTTATTCTACATTTTTAAGGAAGGATTTTACATGTTCTCCTAAAACCCATGAAGAATCAAAATCAAAACTCAAATTATAAATTAATCATGAAAATTTTAGAGGGA